AAAATGGACTCACACAAAAACTTGGAGGATCTGGACTTCGCCGATGATATATGTCTGATTTCCCACAAACTGGAAGATATGCAAGCGAAAAGCAACAAGTTGGCAGAAGAAGCATCAGAGAAGATAGGACTTCAGGTGAACATAGATAAAACAGAGGTGATGAAAATTCCTGGGCAACACCACCAACAGCAACAACAACTGACAACAATCAGCATAAATGGGAGGAACCTGAAAGAAACAACCTCTTTTACCTACCTGGGAAGCATCGTTTCAACTACAGGCGGAACTGATGAGGATATCAAAGCAAGGATCGGAAAAGCAAGACAAGCTTTCACTACTCTCAAGTCTGTGTGGAGGTCAACAACACTCAGCATCAAAAATAAGATCCGGATTTTCAACTCCAATGTGAAGTCAGTGCTACTATACGGATCAGAGACTTGAACTGCGCGTCATAAAGAGCATCTCAAACAAACTACAGACCTTCATTAACAGTTGTCTTCGCTCAATACTCAAGATCAGATGGCCAGAAAAGATCAGCAACAGGGATCTTTGGGAGCGAACCAACCAGGAACCGATTGTGAAACAAATAGGCAGGAAGAAATGGAGATGGATTGGCCATACTCTGAGGAAACCATCAAGTGACATCACTAGACAAGCCCTTGAGTGGAACCCGAAAGGGAAGCGGCGAGTTGGTCGTCAGTGCAAGGGTGACTTGGAGGAGGTCATGTGAAGAGGAGATGAAAACATGTGGGCAGACTTGGAGCCAGGTGAAGACTCTAGCAGAGAACAGAACGCAATGGAGACGCACGGCTGAAGCCCTATGTTCCTGTAGGAATTAAAGGATACAATAATAATAATAATAATCGGGTCCACGCTATCCTCCACGAGCGTCAAAACATCATCAAGTTTAATCTCAGCATCCCCTTCCTATATGCGGGTGCAGATCCGAACCCACTTTCTGTAACCGAGTAGGTAGACGTCTGACGATTACCTCAGCAAAAGAACCCAAATTGAAGTTGTTCATGGAATTCAGAGAGCAGACTGAAGTATTTTTATGGGTCATTAAGTTGCCCAAAGATAAGGTGAGATCCTAAGAGTCATCTGTTAACTGCTGACTATTACCTTAGTGTCAAACGCGCAGTTATAAATCATGGATGGCCTTCCAAATTTCCGGCGTAATATTTTCTCTGCCACCGTATAACCCTCCTAGAGAGGAAATAATTTACAGCACTGTATTGCACTAGCAGCAGCAGTACAATGCCTTAATAACTACATCAACCTTACTTCATCATTCAGTCTGTTATCACTCAATCTAACTTGAATCTCCTTCACGAAGTGAGGGTAGTCTGCTGGATTCCCCATGAAACATCGCGGCCCAAATTTAGATAACTTAAAGGCTATTCTTTCCTGAATCAACTCACTCCTCAACAAACAATTTTCATCACACTCATCGACGATGACTTCAGGCATATTATCAATACATTTTTTTGATTTTTTCATTATAGCTTGAAACCACACAGTATTTTTGGTACAAGAATGGAATTTTCAGCATATGATATCGGTAGCCCAAATTTCGCAGGCCGACCATTGATATCAGGTGTGCGCCGGCAGGGGATCGAACCCCGGACCATGTGCATGGCCTGCGAGAGTCCTAACCACTGTACCACCTTGAAGAATTTCACTATTGACACCTGCCCTAATGCTTGCGTCCAGACTGCCTCTTCATTTCCTGGGCATTAAAACGCGTCACCGGAAATGAGAACTAGAAGGTACATGCCAGATAATGCCTGTCCAAAGAAACAGAATTGAAGACCACCAATGGAGCAAACAGTGCTAATAATCTCCATGTAAATGAGTTCAGAGGAACTTATAGGAAGGGCCAGCAGTTTCTTGCAGAGTAATAAGAACGTTGAGTAAGTAAATCCAAAAACATAGACCAGGAAATAATAACATTTCCAATGAAACGGGGACTCACCGACCGTAGAGCACCAGATTTCACCAGACTTCAAGCTTTATTTTTCCCAGATATTTGTATTACATTCATCTGATGTTTGGGTTTTTGTTAATGCGAAGACAATATTTCTATATCTCTATATGTGTTACACAAACAGACTATTTTGCAGACTGTTCCGACTGACTCTAATGTCAGAAAGAACAACCAAACTGTAAATTCAGCATACTTCGAAATATGTGTAATCAAATAATAGCTTATCCATGCCTACACAATTGGTATGTTCGTGCATAAACAGGAATAAATATATTATTTACGGATTAGAAACTATCAGCAGAAGTATCGAGGAAATTTACTGTAGCCGGAAGACAACTCAGAACACTATTTCAAGTATATAATAACAAACTCAGTTTTAATGCAAGTGGTGTCAAAACATACACGGCAAGTTGTAAATTTATTGATTCATCAAGCATAAGCCAATATTGCAGACTATGTAAACAGTAGTTTGATCATGTGATATACATTTGGTTATTATCATTACACTAAAATGTCTACAAATAATATCAGTATGACACACTAATACTTCTGACCATATTGCACCTCTCTTCTATCAACGAACAAAGGTCTATCCCACATAAGAGATTGTTTCCCCTGACGAACGGGAATCTGGTTCGAATAAGCACATGCATCGAACATCCAATCAATGTTAACCATCGTTGATAAAGGCTGTGATTCGAGGGTTGACTAAACCAGTATCATCTCCCTGTTGATCTCCTCCTCCGCATTAACCGGGCGTTAGGACCTGTTTATCAGATTATTTACAGCAGTTACTCTGGTGATAAAGAAATGTACTGAATTGTGGTCTAGGTATCTGTCTCCATGCATCAGAGTTACGTCTAATACTACACCTTCAAACACTTAGGTAGTACTTTATATGCCAATTTGCATTTTGCGTTAATTAGACCATTGTGCTTCATTGAACTCTTGCATGTCTCCTTTTCGAATTGACATTTCGTTCAGTTGGAAATAATTCTGGCTTCAACTATTGTACTCTTTGTGTTCCGACGCCTGATAACCTCATATGTGCGGATTTGCACCCATGTCTACTTCTCACTGGGTGCCCAATTATTTTCAAACTATTCGGTGAAATCTTCATCAACGTTCCTATGAATGCCATCACCTAGCCCATACTTTCCTGAATATATTAACAAATCCAAGTAAGTTAAAGCGCATGTCAAATCTGTTTGAATGTATATATTTAACTCAATACATTAAAAATGATTGCTGATACGCCTTGCAAACGAGCTTCAGCTAGCACGAAACGTGAGTCCTGTCGATTGCCGCCAACAAACTAACATCATCACTAAGATCATTTACTGGAACTTAGAATTTCAGGAATATTCCGATAGCCATCTAAAGTCACGTGCTCCCCAAATCCGACGTCCATTGCGTTGGTTCTTTGTGCATCAGGGTTATTCCGCACAATAAAAGGTCACACTCACAGGGCCTGTTCACGAGCGGGTGGCCAAACCTGTGGCTTCACACACATTAGAAGCCACCCTGTCAACATATAGTTATGTACAATGTTGATGGGCTGAACTAATTTATGTTTTCCAAATTCAAGTTTAATTACGAAGGTGAACGCTCTGTTTACTTCAATCTAAAATATGATGTCCAATTGTTTTGCATTTCTCACGGTGATTTCTATTAACGTATGCTTTCAGAATTTCGTTGGCAACCAACAGGACGAAAAAAGTCAGCTCAACATATCTGTGAACAAATGATAAATCAACTGAGTTGTCCTATGCAAGCTATCGGTTCGCTTAACATAATAGTCAAGCAATAACTAGAACTACACGAATGCATCGTTTCTTCAAGACATTCAGTATACTCCCGCTAGATCACCAGACTTTGCTATCAAACGAATTCACTGAATTCAGCAAATAGATGCATTGACATATCAATTCTTTCCTGTGTCATAGTATGTATCCCACCGATTAGAATACTCCTTGAAAACGAAGACAGCCAGTGACGCTTGAAATTGTCACGACTGTAGTGTCCAAATGACCAGTCTCGAGCAACACTGTTAGTTGCTTATCCCACAGGTGGGCAAGTAAAGTAGTGTCTGTCGATTAGCTACCTGGACACATTCGAGTCAGTGTTGTATTGTTTTACCGGCAATTTTGACTCCGAAGTCAGCATTTAGAACTCATTAGAGTCCAATCTCCGCCATCTGAAAAGGGCTATTTTTGTATAGATTGGGAAAGTTACCAAGACTGAATAAATTTGGTAGCAGGATAATTACAGATCAGGCCTGAGGCTGAGAGATAAACCGGTCGTCATTATTCAATCAGTGAAGTGCATCATGGTGGATTGCTCATGAAAAAAAGAAGTTTGAATCATTGAACTAGACTAGAGAGCTTTATTTCGATGGGGGCAGGATATATGAATCGTTCTTCAAATTTTTTACGCAAAAAACAGAAGCGCACGACGAAGATCGCGAACTTTTCAAGTTGCTTTTGCCCCTTCATATATTATTAGATTAGAGTGGTTCGAAAAGTTGCACATTCTTCTACACGAATAGAATAAATATCTAGACAAAGCGAAATGAATCCAGCCACACAGACAATCCAAACGCGTTTTGACGATCCCTGAATTCGATTAAAACAACAAATAGTGCCCAAATGTGCAATTAAACACGTAGCTATCAACACTATTCAGCAGCATGGGGACATGCAGCGAAATCGCTATGGTTATGAACAATAAATTTTGTTCTTAACGTCATCCAGTAAATAATACTGTTTCACTGTGTGATATATCTAGTAAACAAAAAGATATGAAACCCTCTTCCTAATATGCACACAATAACCTTACATTGCTAGAGAGCTCTGTACTAGCTTGTGCTAGCTTGTAACATAGGACGATGCCACAAGTTCATACTATTATTTCGTCACACTATACATTCAAACGAGTTAGGAATATGGTTTTGATAGAAAAAGATTCACAGAGAGTATAAACCTATTTCCAACTACAGTATTCTCCATAATTCATGTCACTTAAATTTAGTGTTGGTGGGTTTTTGATCGTTAACGCTACTGAAATGACCCTGAGAAGGTACGCTATCCTTGTGTTTAGAAGTCATTTGAGTTAGTTGACATTTCCCTGGCTTCAAATTAGCAGAAATTGTCCACAATAACTTCTCAGACAGTTTTTTTCAACAGAATTACTGAATGCTAGCTTTATGTGATTCTGCTAAATAACTTTGTCCCATCAAGGACAATATACAGTTTACAGTTTACAATTTATTTAGGATAGTAGGCTATATGCCTGTGTTAATCCTTTCGATTTGTTGCACACAGGAGGTCCAATGTCGCCTTGAATGAATCAACGGATGGCTCTGATACGACGTGTTCCGGTAGGGAGTTCCAATGGTTCACAATTCGATGCGAAAAACGCATCTCCAGACGCAGACGATTCGACCGTGGTTTTTGAACCTTGAGGTGATGTCCTCGCAATTGATTGGTGCTAGGAGGAAGAAATAATTTAGATAAATTAGCTCCAAAATCATTTCTTATGATACGGTATTCTAGTATTAGGTCACCCCTAAGTCGTCTGTATGACAGTGGAAATAAACCCAGTCGACTTAACCTCTCCTCATATGAGAGGGTTGAGAAACCCTTTTTAGCTTAGTTCCTACTCTTTGCACCCTTTCTAATAAGTCTATTTCGTATTTGAAACAGGGGCTCGCTGCCTGGATCCCATATTCCAAATGAGGTCTGATATAAGTCGGATATAATATACGAAATATTTCAGCGTCAAAATTCGCGAAAGCCTTGCGTATGGCCCATAATATTCGAAAACCCTTAGTGGCTGTAGCTCTACAGTTTGTTGCTGTTTTCAAGTCATGCTGCACAACCACTCACAAGTCCTTGTACTCAGTGACCACTGGGAGAGTAATGCCATTCATTGAGTATTTGTGCACGTGACTATGAGATACATGCATAACTACACTCTTGCTTAAGTTAATCTCCAAGGCCCACTGCTTACACCAATCACTTAACAAGCAAGTTGATCCCTGTCATCGTGTAAAGCCCTCCATGTCTTGATGTCATCAGCAAACAGTAAGCAGGATGACTTAACTACCGATGGAATCTCATTAACATAAATCAGGAAAAGAAGTGGGCCTAGAATTGTACCCTGAGGAACGCCACTCTTAACCGATTCCCATGTTGATAAAACCCCGTTAACTCGTACTCTTTGTCTTCTGTCCTTTAGAAAGTCTTGAATCCAGTCGGCAACCACTTTATTGATTCCCAGACTACCTAACTTTACTAGAAGACCTGAATGAGAAACCCTGTCAAACGCCTTGCTAAGGTCGATGAATATGGCATCCACCGGTATACTAGCATCAGCTGAGCTTGCCCAACTTTCTCTGGGCAAAAGAAGGCTGGTCAACCAAGAATGACCTGCTCTAAAACCTTGCTGTTCCACAGCGAAAAGTTCGTCCCTTCAATGAAGTGAATGATAGCATCACGAATTATTCTTTCTAGTAGTTTAACAAAATATGGAAACAGGACGATAGTTCCGAACTAAGTTTCTAGATCCGGTTCTGAAGACCGGACTAATGTGCTCAGTCTCTTGGACATTTAGACTGGTCCAGAGACATATTGAAGATTACCGACAATGGCTTGGCTATGTTTTCAGCCAATGCTGTTAATATACGTGGATGGAGTTCATCAGGGCCACTGGACTTACCAGGATTGAGCCTTAGAAGCCACTTCAGGACAGTATCCTTTCCAATGTATAAGGGTGCCATTTTCAAGTTACCTTCTGGAAAAGTTACAAAGCTGGTATCAATATTATCAGAGAATACTTGACTAAAGTACTTGGACAAAGCCTCAGCCTTAGTCAAGTTATCCTCAGCCATGTTTGTCTGGTCATCTTCAAGCATAAGGGGTGGGATAGCATCACTCTTACGTGTTCTTCTCTTGATATATGAGAAGAGTCTTTTTGGGCAGCCTGGTGAACTTTTAACTAACTGGGTTTCGTAGGCTATCCTTGACTGGTGAAACAAAGTTTTACACTGGTTTCTGGTTTCACAGTATTTCAGCCGGAACTGCTGTAGCCCAGTAAAAACAAAGAGATTCCAGAACCTTTTTCTCCGTCTTAGGAGTGTTATAGCTTGTCTATTTACCCATGGTGGCCGATTTGTTGGCCTTTTAGGAACCCTGAAGGGAATGAAATCAGTGGTAACCCTCTCAAGTGTATTCTTAAATCTATCCCATTCATCTTCAATGGATGAGACCATATTGACTGACCAGTCGGCAGTTGAAGCACGCTCCTTTATAGCGACTATGTCAGCATGCCAAACACTAGGTCGGGATTTGGGTTGAAAACTGACTAAATTGCCAGCCCTTAAGTTAAAATGTAACACCCCATGATCACTGTTTGCTAGAGGTGGATGAATAACTAGACCATCCACGTCGTCGTTGTCATGAGTAAGCACGAAGTCCAGCAAGGAAGATCCTTGGGTAGAACCGAATCTTCTACTACCTAAGACATGTTGTGTCAGGGCATTTTCTATGGTAGTCAAGAGTAACCGGCTGTCAAACTTATTAGTGGATCCTGGAGATGTGACAGCTACCCAGTCTATATGAAGTGCATTAAAATCACCTAGAATAAGACAGCTACTGTATCTACTCCATTGTTTGAGGTGATCTAAAATAAAGTCATCACACTGACAATAGGAACTTCTATACAGAACTCCAATGAGTAGAGTGGCAGTTACAAAGCTTACTTCACAGCTAATTACATCACTTATCCCACTGTCATGCGCTTCAGATTTCACGGAACGAACATGTAGGGAGTTGTTGATGTACAGAGCAACCCTGCCACCTCTACGACCCTTAACCCTGTCGCTGCGCAAGCAACTAAATCCGCATAGCTCAGGTGTGTCATCTAATCCAGAAACCAGTCATGTTTCAGTAATGGCCACAATACCTGGGCTAAGGTCTTCCACTAATACACCTAGCTCGTGAAATTTGTTCCCAATACTACGTATATTAGTGTAGACTACCTTCAGGCTTCCTATGCGGTCCGGCTTATCCACACAGGTCTTGGAAGCATACGTTTCCAAGACCTGACTATTTGAAAACCCACCAGTTTAAGGTTAGTCTCACCATTTTTACGTCTTGTTTCTAGCTGGGACAAAACTTCTTTTCGTTTAAGTCTGTCTTCAAGAGATAAATCAGGTCTGACTGAAATTCCTGACCCGGCAAGGTTGTGTACATTAGCCAGTAGATGATTCCGTTCATCAGGAGAACCTAAGACTACTTTAAGCAACCTACGCTAATTAAAACATTCATCATCTCTTTTGCCTATTCTAATCAGCTTTTTAATCGATACTCCAGGGAAATTCGCTGGGAGCATCTTCCTTATAATACTACTTACTAATTTAAGGTCGTGATCGTGCCTTTTCACGGGATCAGATTCTTTGGACTCTTCTAAATTTCCAACAATTATGTTAGAGTCTAAGGAGAGCTTGTCGTATTTAGCAGTGGCTACGTCTTTTCTCACCACTATTGATGCAGCCTGGCTACAGGTGACAGACGTTTGCCTACCATCAATATTACTATATTTCTTCCGATTGCTTATTTTTGTTACCCACTTATCATCTGCCTGCAGTTGCTTCTCAGGGCTGCTGCAGTTTTTGATGGTACAATCAAGATCAGTGTCTGCACCACCTTCATGGTGAACTTCGCTTACAGTGTTCTCTGGTGCTGAGATGCTGTTTACAGCTTCCGTTTTGTTACCTTTTCGCTTACTAAGACGCTTCGAACGCCTAGTAGGTTTTACTTCCGGGGTAACTGGGATAGTAACTGCCGGTGTGATAACATTCATGATGGCACTTACTGCGTCATCTTCAGACGGGCAGTCCGTGTCACTCTTACTAGCCACGCTATCATCAGGAAGTTCCATGGCTTTAGACAGTAGTTCGTGAGCCTCCCTTATTAAAGTCATCTTTGGGGAGCAACACATTCTGCACATCCAGTGGGATGTTGGAGCACTACAACGTTTGTATGCAGCTGGACGTAATCCAGTACACATCTTATGATACCACTTTTTACATTTATTACACTGTATTCCATCATCTACCAAAAAGTAAGTTTGAAAAAGGGAGTGCTTTTTTTCACGTATTTGACAAATCGCTGTTTTTGTTGTGTTATTCACTTCAAGAACATTTTTTAAAACTTTAACTTGACTTTTGTCTGTTAAGTTTTGATTTTAACCACTTATATAGTCTATATTGGGTAAATTGTCTTGGCTGTTCCAGTAGAAGTTCATTATGTCAAAAGTACCACATAAATGTAATAGGGCGGAGTGTTACTTTTTGGTAGATGATGGAATACAGTGTAATAACTGTAAAAAGTGGTATCATAAGATGTGTACTGGATTACGTCCAGCTGCATACAAACGTTGTAGTGCTCCAACATCCCACTGGATGTGCAGAATGTGTTGCTCCCCAAAGATGACTTTAATAAGGGAGGCTCACGAACTACTGTCTAAAGCCATGGAACTTCCTGATGATAGCGTGGCTAGTAAGAGTGACACGGACTGCCCGTCTGAAGATGACGCAGTAAGTGCCATCATGAATGTTATCACACCGGCAGTTACTATCCCAGTTACCCCGGAAGTAAAACCTACTAGGCGTTCGAAGCGTCTTAGTAAGCGAAAAGGTAACAAAACGGAAGCTGTAAACAGCATCTCAGCACCAGAGAACACTGTAAGCGAAGTTCACCATGAAGGTGGTGCAGACACTGATCTTGATTGTACCATCAAAAACTGCAGCAGCCCTGAGAAGCAACTGCAGGCAGATGATAAGTGGGTAACAAAAATAAGCAATCGGAAGAAATATAGTAATATTGATGGTAGGCAAACGTCTGTCACCTGTAGCCAGGCTGCATCAATAGTGGTGAGAAAAGACGTAGCCACTGCTAAATACGACAAGCTCTCCTTAGACTCTAACATAATTGTTGGAAATTTAGAAGAGTCCAAAGAATCTGATCCCGTGAAAAGGCACGATCACGACCTTAAATTAGTGAGTAGTATTATAAGGAAGATGCTCCCAGCGAATTTCCCTGGAGTATCGATTAAAAAGCTGATTAGAATAGGCAAAAGAGATGATGAATGTTCTAATTAGCGTAGGTTGCTTAAAGTAGTCTTAGGTTCTCCTGATGAACGGAATCATCTACTGGCTAATGTACACAACCTTGCCGGGTCAGGAATTTCAGTCAGACCTGATTTATCTCTTGAAGACAGACTTAAACGAAAAGAAGTTTTGTCCCAGCTAGAAACAAGACGTAAAAATGGTGAGACTAACCTTAAACTGGTGGGTTTTCAAATAGTCAGGTCTTGGAAACGTATGCTTCCAAGACCTGTGTGGATAAGCCGGACCGCATAGGAAGCCTGAAGGTAGTGTACACTAATATACGTAGTATTGGGAACAAATTTCACGAGCTAGGTGTATTAGTGGAAGACCTTAGCCCAGGTATTGTGGCCATTACTGAAACATGACTGGTTTCTGGATTAGATGACACACCTGAGCTATGCGGATTTAGTTGCTTGCGCAGCGACAGGGTTAAGGGTCGTAGAGGTGGCAGGGTTGCTCTGTACATCAACAACTCCCTACATGTTCGTTCCGTGAAATCTGAAGCGCATGACAGTGGGATAAGTGATGTAATTAGCTGTGAAGTAAGCTTTGTAACTGCCACTCTACTCATTGGAGTTCTGTATAGAAGTTCCTATTGTCAGTGTGATGACTTTATTTTAGATCACCTCAAACAATGGAGTAAATACAGTAGCTGTCTTATTCTAGGTGATTTTAATGCACTTCATATAGACTGGGTAGCTGTCACATCTCCAGGATCCACTAATAAGTTTGACAGCCGGTTACTCTTGACTACCATAGAAAATGCCCTGACACAACATGTCTTAGGTAGTAGAAGATTCGGTTCTACCCAAGGATCTTCCTTGCTGGACTTCGTGCTTACTCATGACAACGACGACGTGGATGGTCTAGTTATTCATCCACCTCTAGCAAACAGTGATCATGGGGTGTTACATTTTAACTTAAGGGCTGGCAATTTAGTCAGTTTTCAACCCAAATCCCGACCTAGTGTTTGGCATGCTGACATAGTCGCTATAAAGGAGCGTGCTTCAACTGCCGACTGGTCAGTCAATATGGTCTCATCCATTGAAGATGAATGGGATAGATTTAAGAATACACTTGAGAGGGTTACCACTGATTTCATTCCCTTCAGGGTTCCTAAAAGGCCAACAAATCGGCCACCATGGGTAAATAGACAAGCTATAACACTCCTAAGACGGAGAAAAAGGTTCTGGAATCTCTTTGTTTTTACTGGGCTACAGCAGTTCCGGCTGAAATACTGTGAAACCAGAAACCAGTGTAAAACTTTGTTTCACCAGTCAAGGATAGCCTACGAAACCCAGTTAGTTAAAAGTTCACCAGGCTGCCCAAAAAGACTCTTCTCATATATCAAGAGAAGAACACGTAAGTGATGCTATCCCACCCCTTATGCTTGAAGATGACCAGACAAACATGGCTGAGGATAACTTGACTAAGGCTGAGGCTTTGTCCAAGTACTTTAGTCAAGTATTCTCTGATAATATTGATACCAGCTTTGTAACTTTTCCAGAAGGTAACTTGAAAATGGCACCCTTATACATTGGAAAGGATACTGTCCTGAAGTGGCTTCTAAGGCTCAATCCTGGTAAGTCCAGTGGCCCTGATGAACTCCATCCACGTATATTAACAGCATTGGCTGAAAACATAGCCAAGCCATTGTCGGTAATCTTCAATATGTCTCTGGACCAGTCTAAATGTCCAAGAGACTGGAAAGATGCCATAGTCCGGTCTTCAGAACCGGATCTAGAAACTTAGTTCGGAACTATCGTCCTGTTGTTAAACTACTAGAAAGAATAATTCGTGATGCTATCATTCACTTCATTGAAGGGACGAACTTTTCGCTGTGGAACAGCAAGGTTTTAGAGCAGGTCATTCTTGGTTGACCAGCCTTCTTTTGCCCAGAGAAAGTTGGGCAAGCTCAGCTGATGCTAGTATACCGGTGGATGCCATATTCATCGACCTTAGCAAGGCGTTTGACAGGGTTTCTCATTCAGGTCTTCTAGTAAAGTTAGGTAGTCTGGGAATCAATAAAGTGGTTGCCGACTGGATTCAAGACTTTCTAAAGGACAGAAGACAAAGAGTACGAGTTAACGGGGTTTTATCAACATGGGAATCGGTTAAGAGTGGCGTTCCTCAGGGTACAATTCTAGGCCCACTTCTTTTCCTGATTTATGTTAATGAGATTCCATCGGTAGTTAAGTCATCCTGCTTACTGTTTGCTGATGACATCAAGACATGGAGGGCTTTACACGATGACAGGGATCAACTTGCTTGTTAAGTGATTGGTGTAAGCAGTGGGCCTTGGAGATTAACTTAAGCAAGAGTGTAGTTATGCATGTATCTCATAGTCACGTGCACAAATACTCAATGAATGGCATTACTCTCCCAGTGGTCACTGAGTACAAGGACTTGTGAGTGGTTGTGCAGCATGACTTGAAAACAGCAACAAACTGTAGAGCTACAGCCACTAAGGGTTTTCGAATATTATGGGCCATACGCAAGGCTTTCGCGAATTTTGACGCTGAAATATTTCGTATATTATATCCGACTTATATCAGACCTCATTTGGAATATGGGATCCAGGCAGCGAGCCCCTGTTTCAAATACGAAATAGACTTATTAGAAAGGGTGCAAAGAGTAGGAACTAAGCTAAAAAGGGTTTCTCAACCCTCTCATATGAGGAGAGGTTAAGTCGACTGGGTTTATTTCCACTGTCATACAGACGACTTAGGGGTGACCTAATACTAGAATACCGTATCATAAGAAATGATTTTGGAGCTAATTTATCTAAATTATTTCTTCCTCCTAGCACCAACCAATTGCGAGGACATCACCTCAAGGTTCAAAAACCACGGTCGAATCGTCTGCGTCTGGAGATGCGTTTTTCGCATCGAATTGTGAACCATTGGAACTCCCTACCGGAACACGTCGTATCAGAGCCATCCGTTGATTCATTCAAGGCGACATTGGACCTCCTGTGTGCAACAAATCGAAAGGATTAACACAGGCATATAGCCTACTATCCTAAATAAATTGTAAACTGTAAACTGTATGCATAGATAAATGATAGCATGCTCGATAGATGCATGCATGTGGGTGCTTGTGTCATTGTACTTCGAGATGTGTTGATATTTCGGACACTGTTCTTTAACCGTGTCCTAGCCATAATCCTTACCTTAACCCAGACCCCTAAACCTTAATCTAAAAAGCCATTACCCTACCTGACAGTATGGATTTACAGGGGTTGTTCCCAGGGAATAAATGGAATACTGTATCTACCTCCTCCAAGTCGGTCGGTCGGTTTTCGACATAGGACTTTGCACATATGTGCGGCAGTTCAAGTCGCCACACTCCATGTAGCACACAAAGCAAGAGAAGAAAGTAGGAGAAATGCATAATATAGACAGTAAACAAGGGTGTGGGTTAAAGGAATAGTAATAACGAAGAACAAAACAGTTTCATTGGAAATCATAAGTCACAAGGAGTGGATGCATCTGCGCCACTGAGAACGACTTCGAGCCATATCACCGATTGTTTCCAACCATTGGTTTTTACGTCATCCCGAGGACCCCAACCAGGAAGTCTACACCTTCCTACGTGGTTGCACTTCAGTGCCAAGTTCTATGTTGAATCCGGCCATCCAACCAGCCTTAGACTAACTGTTGTAGATTTCGTTGATTGGTGAAGCCATTTTTTCGTTTGACCACCGCTGGCTCTTTTCCAGCCTGACCCTATGTCAGCTAACATTTCCCGTCGAGGAAGGCGATGACTAGGCATACGTAGCACACGTCCTAACCATCTCAGTCGATGTAATTTCACAGTCTCGTCGACTGATTTCCCCGCCTTACCTAGCACTCGACGCCTAACCTCAATATTGCTCACCTTATTATACCACTTCACGCGGGAGATAGAACACAGGCACCTATGATCGAAGACAGCTAATCTTTTCATGTCTTCTGCTCTCAATGGCCAGGTCTCATAGCCATAAAGGAGGATGGAGCGAACTGTTGAGCAGTACACACGCCCTTTGGTCGATAGTCGGATATCACGTCTACACCAGAGACGGCGTAAACTGGCATATGCGAAACAAGCCCTCTGTATTCGTGCTGAGATTTCGTCGGAGATCAACCAGTTGGCACTGGCTGATGGTACTTCCCAAGTAAGTGAAGCGGTCAACGTGCTCTACCACTTCACTTCCTATTTCTAATCTAGGGGTCGGTGTAGTCCAATCCTGCAGCATCATCTTACATTTTACAGGGGCGAATTGCATGCCAAACATACGAAGACTATTGCTCAGGGTGTTCAGTAGACTCTGCATTTTGTCAGAGTCCTCGCCTAGAAGGACTATATCATCCGCATATTCTAAGTCGACGAGATTATTCCCTGGTAGCAAGTCAATCCCTGAGTCGCTGAAGTGTGTTAGGGTTATGTCCATTAGTACGTCTATGATGAAGAAGAGGAGAGATAAGCGGTGACGAGAAACAATAGCAATATTTATTGGCGATATAGAAGTGATGATACTTCCCAACTTCGTCATTGATATTGCCTAAGAGGGATAACTGGGAAATATTGTTATGCTAAATGGCAACAACGGGTAGTCAGGGCATATATGTGTAATATTGCATGATTTATGTCATATCTATCCCCCTAAAGAAAGTATCTATGGTTTCTCTCAAGAACGAAAAACGTTTTTAGTTAGATTCTCTTCGATAAGAAACAAACGTATATATTTCGGGTTAGTTGTGCTGGACCGTTGTTAGTAGTGTTTTAATGCACATAGATCGTTTACATGGTGAACATTTGCTTGATAAAAGCCTAATCTCTTTTGAATTATCTCCGTATAGAATCCATCTGCTGAGTCACACAATCAAATACTTTCATTCTAAAAGTTATACACCATGCCGAAAATTTCTTTGCTCTTACACGAATTCACCAGACAGCAAAGAAGCAATTTCTGATGCAGAAAAGTTAATTGAATTTTTCAAAAAGGCTGAGAAATCTGTAATTGAAAATAAATCTCTCCCAAGCAACAATGAAGTTCTTGTTACCAAACAAGATGAAAGTGTGGAGACTGATATCACTGAAACGTCACACCTCAATTCCACTGGTCAATCAAATTCTGATACAGTATGTTTCACACAATTATCATTTCTTTAATTGTACGCTTAGAGGGAGGAACAAGGAAAAAAGACACCTAGTGCACTTTCATTCGTTCCATGGACAATGAGTACACTATTGAAAGAAATGAATATTTCAAAATTAATTTCTGAACGTTCTAAAAGTTCAGAAAAGTCTTTTGATACCCTGTTACGTTATAGCCCCTTTATTCAGCTCGGAGATTTTAAGTCTCGTGAGGTGGGTTTATGATTCCAAGTTAGTAAATTTTATATAAGTTGTTATTGATCTTTTAAATTAAAACCATGTGTGAAAGTACAAACTGTAGACATTTTTTTAAGGTAGGGTCAGGGGAAAAGCGAAGTTGTTTTCTGCAGCTGCTTATATCAGAATGCCTTACATTTAACGTCTTCCACTCGGCACTGATAATTGAGTTGGTTTCTTTTTGATTTCTAGAAGATAAAATCCTGCTGTAGTCATCAAAAACGATTTAATTTTATTGATAATCACTTGATATCTAACTTGTGTTCATGACATGAAACCCTTGGAAAATTATTCGAATTTGAAATGCCCCCCGCCGTATTGCAGTGCATGTATAGAAGTTTAACACTGTGGCATTATAATGCTGATTACAAGATGTTAGCGATAAATAGTGAAACAGTGTTATGTGTCAAATTAAATTCACTCTTTGTGAATTACACAGTTAGAAGTGAAAATTCACCACGGTTTCCTTGGAAAGTGTAAAAGAAATTTAGATTACATTATATGGTCTGCTTAACACTATAAATGGCAATCTAGGGAGCATTTCCACCTCAAACTGTGTAATCTACAATTAGCGCATTGGATTCTGTGTGTCATCAGTTCCCCCAGGTAGCTAGCCACAGTCTGGGTGGTTCTAACTGAGTCAGTTCTCAGTCATATCCGATACACCACTGATGAGCTTGATCTAAAAAGAGCGGAACGGCCATCCGATATTTTCGGACCACTTCAGTCTGGTTAGCAAGTACTCTTGATCGACGTGAGCGGTTTTTAACTACTCAGTATTTATCATTAGTACACAGCATCATTCAATATTCAGTGTTACATAACCTAAATTAATCTTCAGAAAGTTATCTAGATTATTTTGTTTCACAATAGTGATTAAAGTAGTTTGGTTTACTGCATGATTTACTTTTGTAATGGTACTAACGCTTCTTGATTGAACACCGGCACAATTTTGACGCATCCTGGATACTGCCACATATTGAGTTGAGGAGATATCCATACAAGTATCAGTGGCTTAAGATCGGACACAGTTGTGTTCTTTTCTGCAATCATCATGTCCGGATATTAGAAAAGATACTGTGAGGCGACTGTATGTGTTCGTCAATACATTTGAATAATCATGTGCATTTGTTAGCATGAAGGTTAAACATAGAGTATGTGTGTGTAAGATATATTGATGACTCATGAAGTTACGATTTGCTCCTCCGTCTAATCGCCCCCCGTCATAGTTAAAAGAAGCTATCAGTTAGAAGGCGTTGACTGGTGTTTAAGTTCTAGACTTCTAATTACTGGATTGGAGTCCCAATCCACCTACCGAATTTTGGGGGTACCCAGGTGACGTCATTGGCCTTCACGTAATAGGTGTGGCTGTTTTTACAACTGCATGGAAATGCAAGTGGTTGTTATAGTCTGTTAATAAATGCCCATGACTGACTGAGGTTTCGATACAGAACTTTGCACACAGATGTGTAATGGTTGAAGTTACCACGCTCCATATAGCACACAAAGGTAGAGAACATGATTCAAAGAAACTACAATAAGCGGAAATGTATGGGAGAAAGAATAAATGCATAGAGTGAATGCATCTGCACGATATGGAAGGATTTTGAGCCGTGTCACCCATGATATCCAGCCATTGGTTCTGAGCACTTTGGGGAAGCCAGTTAAACAGCCAACGCCTCCAAAGCAACAGTCAAAGACCTTATGGATTGATGCCAGCTTCTAATTTCGCAACTCCTAAGTCTTACCAAACTTAATCGTATGTCAGCTAACATTGGTTGACAAGGACGGCGATGGCTTGACACGCGTAATACGTGTCCTAGCCATCTCAGTCAATGTAGCTACACAACTTCATTGATTGGCTTGTCCTCCTTACCGGACACACTGCCTAAACTCAAAATTACTCACTACATTAAACACCACTTAACTCGAGAGACAGAACACAAACTCACTCAATCCATTGAGGCTGATGCAACTTCCCGAATGAGTGAAGTGGTCAACACTCTAAGCTACCACTTTACTCCGTATCTTCAAACTGGAAGCCGGTGCAGAACACTCCTGAGGCATCGTCTTACAATTGAAAGAGGCGAATCGTGTGTCAAACATAGCATTCCTATGTATTGGTGATAGCACTTAGGAATGATAGGGTGTAAAATTTTGTTTTACTTGACATATCACCTTTTACTATAAAACATTCCTGTTCATTCTTTTTTTTTATTTCTCTAGTTAGTCGGTGTTGTAATAGACAATGTAAACGATACAGATCTTTATATAGATTTCGGTGGAAAGTTTCACTGTGTCTGTCCTCAACCAGTTAATCAGTTTTATCCTCGTGGGAGTTTAGTACGGATTCGGTTAAAAAATCCAGAGCTCACGGATAAATTCATGATCAATACGAAAGGGATTTCAATTTTTGAGGCAGAAGCTACACTTTTAGGACCATACAAGGGTCGACTAGTTAAGAGTGTGGCTGATGAAGAAAGAACAACATCAGCAGATGGTACAAAAAGACAGCGTTCTACTACAGATGAAGATTGTGTTGCATTAGAACACTGGCGTTTAAAATAATAACATTTCATATGATAGTCTCCTCTTCCGTTTTTGTATATAAAATAAACATTATATATGCCGATTTGATTATGAATAGTAGTCTTACTTTTGTGTAAATAAACCTTAATTGGTTAACCTTCTTATGAATAGATTTTCAGTGCAATACCTTCCTTTGTATATTTATTCATTCTTCGCATCGTGTACTCGTTAACACTCTCTTTAATTAAAATGTGACAATCACATTGTGATCCTCTTATGAGGTGTTAATTTGCAACTACTGTGCCCTCAACTTAAGATAAGTACCTCAATGCTTAAATCGTGGCAAACGGAGGTAGATTTCATTGCGTTATTTACTGTTAGTATGCGTAGTGGACCTTAGAAGATAAGCCATAATTGTATTTATTCACAGCCCATACGATAAATATTTTATTGTTTTTCAGCTCTTATTCTGATATGTCCTCCTTCGCGTGCCTATATGTTTGTTTTATTACCACACCGTCTCTACTTTCATTAGTGTGTATGTACTTTTTCAAATCGGGGGGGGGGGGGGAGATCTTCTATGTCGAGTTCTATACTGAGTTGTCATTTTGGTAACTTCATATTAAGTATTGTGTTGTCCAACAGTCTGTTTCAAACCAAAGTAGCAGCTAGTTCTGTTGAAACGGTAGAAAACGGAGACCTGGTAAAGGAATGTTTGTTTGGAAATTAGTATCTCTATATAGCCAAATTATGTATACTTTATCTTCAGCGCACCATTTGCACAAATCTTCTTGTTGTGGTACTTATGGACTTCATATTGTGTTTCTTTGTATTCCTTTCACGTCTCCCATGTATCTCCACAAGGCTGTATCATTCGCCTTCTCTGAAATCAGATGTATCTCCCTGCTATTTGATTTTTTTTCTACCGATGAACGGCTCCTTATATACTACGGATAAATCTTATCAGTAGCACTTGCCACACTGTCTAATGATTAGTCATGTTAATCACCTATCAAAATTGTAGCAAATAAAGTGAAGTTTAGATTTGTAACTCAATATCTTCAATTTGAACGAAAGCTTTTGCTGATGGGTGAGTGAGTGAGGTAATATTGACCTTAGTCTCAGTAACCCTTGATAGATAGATACAGCAATGGAGATATGTTGTTATTGATATCTTCAGAGTAACTACCAAATAACTTGAATACTTTTCTGGAATTTAAAAGTAAATATATATCATACTTAAAAAGAGGAAAAGCGTCAAGGAAACCTTTAACTGTTTCTATAAAGTTGAAGTTCTTTTTAGTTTTCTTTCATTGAACATTTTATTTGTTCAGTTTAGGAGTAAATCTGAAGCTACATTAGGTTTAATCTCAGATTGTGTTTGGTCAAGTAATATTCAGACTCATAAATCTTGAATATTTTCACTTACAGAGTTAATGTCTTACAGTATTTACTGTAACCATACAACGGTAGACAGCTGCATTCTGGAAGGTTTCCACGTTTGTCTTAAGCATGTCTAGTAAAAGATTATAGAAAGATGTTAGATTACACAGGTTGACATAGTGGTTCAAATCAGTGAATTATGTGTTTTGTGAGACTTTGATTAAGGGTTCAGATCTCACTGATGGATTGAAGGTCAGCACAGAATTGGCTTACGATTCACTTACATCAGATGTAAGATGATGCTCCAGGACTGGACTACATCGACTCATTCCTAGCTTAAAGAAGATAAGAAGTGAAATGGTGACAGAGCGTGTTGACTAATTGACTTATTTGGACAGTTGCATCAGCCCCAACGGGTTGATCGCTGACTAAATTTCAGTGCGCATACAGAAGGCTCGTTTGGAATATTCCAATTCACGCCATCTCTGGCAGAGATGAGATACTTGGCTGTCGACCTAAGGGCGTATGTACTGCTCACCAGTTCACTCTGTGTTCCTTTATGGCTATGAGAGACGGCCAATGAAAGTGGAAGATATAAAAAGGTCAGCTGTCCTTCGTCGTAGGTGTCTGCGTTATATCTCCCGTGTGAAGTGGTAAAATAAGGTGGGCAATATTGAGGTTAGGCATAGAGTGCTGGGTGGTTAAGACATGTGTTACGTATGCCTAGCCATCACCTTGCTCGACGGGCAATGTTAGCTGACATACCATCGATCAGGTTAGAAAAGAGTCAATGAAATCCACAACAGTTAGTTTAAGCCAGCCAGCCACATAGGAAGGTGTAGACATCGTGGCTAGTTCGGGTCCTCGGGACGGTAAAAACCAATGAAGGCTGGTGAAAATTGGTGGTATGGCTCAAAATCGTTTACAATGGCTCAGATGCATCCACTCCTTGTGATTTATAATACCCAATAAAACTATATTGTTCTTCGTTGTTACTATTACTTTCGTCTCATATCCCTGTTTACTGTCTTTATTTTACATTTCTGTATGCTTTCTTCTCTTGCTTTGTGTGCTACATGGAGTGAGAGTGGCAGCTCGAACTGCTGCACATCGGTGCAAAGTTCTACACTGAAGCCAGTCAGTCAGCCAACACAGAATTTCTGTATAGTCTCGTATGGCCTGAACGCTTTCCGATTGGTTGCTGATACTGTTATAAACAGACACCATATGATATGGAAGTTATTAGAATGCTTTTGTAATATGTCATTAGTTGGGCAGTTAGTTAATCAGATCCCAGTTACCTGAAAATGACTTCTCATGTATCGGGGCGTAAGCCACATACACACATAGCGTGAGATCTAGTGATACTACACGGTTGCTCAGATTGCAGTAAGTGAATCGGGACTCAAACTCATGGACCACTTGCCCGAAGTTGAGTGCTTAAGCGGACGTGATCCATCTCCATTGGTGCTACATGTGTACTTCACTCTAGGGATGTCGCCACCTTCATATTTGCAGTGTGTTGAGTTGAATGGGGACGCCGAGGTGAACGCAGATTCGAAAACGACGCAATTGCTAGACTAACGTCAACAAAATTATACCACAACTGCGTGTTCCTCAGCCCTCTCTACTCGACTCAGAATGCAAACCGATGTGAGACGAAGAGCATATTTCAGCATCATTACAAAACTATATATATATTATATATATATATATATATATATATATATATATATATATATATATATGATCACACTCAACCGCTTCACTCCCTATCTCCAAACAGGGAGTCAATGTAGTCCAGTCCCGTCGCTTCATCTTACATTTGACAAGAACGAATCGAATGCCAAACATTCGAAGATTGCTTCTCTACATGTTCAGAAGACTCTACATTTTATCAGTGCCTTCACCTAAAAAGATTACATTATCCGTATATTCTAAGTCAACAATACTTATTCCGTGGTAACAAATCAATCCTTGAGTCACTGAAGTTAGTTAGCGTCAATTCGACTAGTCCATCCATGATGAAACTAAACAGAAATGGGGCTAATAGTGGGCTTCCTTGACGGACACAGCTGTACTATATGTGTGTATCATGACAATCAGTCTTGTATTGCATTTCTACGGAGTTGTAGGTTATTCGAGACTGATAAATTGAGTACAGTCAACTGTTGTCTGTGTAAGGTACTTTGGGAAGGGCTTGAGAAGTGGAACGGGAAAATAGTGCTTGTATTCTTATTAGATGAATATTTGAAGCTAGGATTGTCGCAGCACTAACGACTTAGAAGTGTATATTTAGTGAGTGAGATTTCGGTTTATAGATAATGTTATAACTGTAGGGAATTAAATGAGGACGTTGTCGCCTTGTTCTGTCTGCGCCTGACTAATATGCCTATCTGCTTGTGGTACCTTCCGATTCAGTGAACCTCGCAAATATCAAAAGACAAAAACTGGCCTGTGACTGTATATTGTAGTACAACAACTACAACAAAGAACTTATTTAGGAAAACAACACATGGTATTTATACATTTTGACAACAATACAGACAGCTAACAGCATTTGAAATAATTGATCTTAATAATCGATAACAAAGTGCGTGGGATCCTATCAGATAACCAGTTTGATAAGTGTCTATTTTTCGAAGAATTCCAGTTAGCTTTATAGCAGCTGCAACGGTAGAGACAGATTGTGGCAGTGCAAGGAAGTTTTATTAGATCTCCTACTGTAGAATTACTACTTTACTATAGCTCGAAACGATCGCAGAACTATGTTGGCTGGATCTGCCTTGAGTAATATTCCAAAATTTCGTTTCTATGATGAAGGTGGTCTGACATTTGAATCGTAGTTTGAATAAGTTGAAGATGCATTTTTTGTGTTGGGTGTACTTCCTCGAGAACTATATTAATAACTCGGTCGAAGCAACGTTCACTCAACACTCCACTGAACGTTGGTGTTACGGGTCGTGAACATCGATTGTATTGACGATTGCCTCGTTAAGTGGGCTACGATCACTTCTCGATTCATGTATGAATGATCGCAAACTTGTTTTAAATACTATTCTGGTGCTTCTCATTTATCTGTCACATATTGATATGAAGAACGTTCGAGTGTGTCGCAGAACACCATGTGAGATAGGGTTATTGCACCTCGCGGAGTAGATCCTGTTCCTTACACTTGCATAGAAGAGGAATAGAATGCCTCAGTAAAGTTGCTTGTTAATCACTCATTCAATTATTTACCTTTGGCAGCTTCCATTGTAGTAGCTCAGAAAGCGAATGGTACCATCTACATTTATGCTGACTTCCTAACTAGTTTATCATATAATGATATTTTACAGGACAGGTAATATTCGTAACCTTTGTCAGTGGATTTATTTGTTAAAATTGGACTAATCAGAGGTTCACTTACCATTGGAAGTTGGTGTTGATTCTAATGCACGTGCAAACATCGTTCACATCGTGGTCTTTATCATCAGTGGAATGAAACCTGCATCCGTTATCTTCCGACAGTTGGCGAATGCTATGTGACAACAAGTCCTGGTGGTGTTTCACAATGTCTGTATGATATTGTCGTTGATTCCATTCTTATTAAATTCTTTCTTTCTTGCGTGCGTTTGTGTTCCAAGTTGGGAAGTAGATCTTCAAGCTCTGAGCTTTGAATTTTCAGTGACGCTTGAATTTTGTTTACCGCGTGGGGTTGCTAGCCTCACATCCAAGCTTCCCTCTTCATGGAACTTACTAGTCGTTTAGCGAAGTTAAGTACTGCTTCGTCCAGGAGTCGAACCTTGGACGGCATACGTGGTTGGCAAGCATTCTACCACTGACGCATTCGTGCATCGTTTGAATTTGTTTCTAGCTTTTGTGTCTGAGCGTGGTTTTCACTTACAGACACACTTGTGTTTTTCTTGAGTTTTCAAATATTTGGGGAATATTTTGATTAGGCTTGGTCGTTAGGCAGTCTCAAACGCCGATAATCTCTTTGTATGATTGTTTAATACGCTGTCGTCATTCCTTCTATGGAGAGACTACATTATCTACTTGATCAACTCTTTACATCTAATTTTCCCTGGAATTTGTCTAATCAATACTGAACTGCCTTCGAGGAGATCAAGAGATTTTTGTCTTCTCATATAACGTCAACAAATTATAATCCTAAACTGAAAGTTATTCTGTCCATAAATTCTCCTCATTTTGTTATCGGTTCAATGACAGTTTTAGGTTTATATTGGAAAGGAAGCCTAACCACTTGTTTTTATTTTGATCACCAGTTGACCTCATTTAGAGAATCACTGAAAATCAGCAGGGAGTACATTGCGCGTGTTTTGTCCGTGTTTGGAACTCCTCACAATACACACGCATGATGCTACCAGGGATGGAATCCAGCACCTTCAGGATACAAAGTGAGCTCACTGACTTTTCAATCACTGCTACAATATCCAGTGGTTCATCATTTCTCACTTCTACCTCTTTGAGACATATTTCACAATCTCCAGACAATATTATCAGCTGGCATTTATTCTTACATTCAACTTGGTGGACCTCACCGATGACACCAGTGGCTGACTACAGGATCAAGTTCTAGTGAGAAGTCGTGACCAACAGGGTCCATCAAGTTGGATACGAGAAGAGATACTTCCCGAGAAACAGCAGAAGCTAGAATTCATGGGCTGTGAGATGATTCCCTGTGAGAAACTGAGTGATCAGTGAGCTCGCCTGGATTCGACACTCCTGGAGGATGGGGTTATGGGTTCGTATTGCTGAAGAGTCCTAAAGAAGGAGGTCAAAATATCTGTCCAGTATTTCCTGTTTTTCAATAGTTATTTAACTTGTATCAATCCGTGATCATACTTGAGATCAATTTAATATCTGCAACACCAACACTTGAAAACAAGGGAGAAAGTATACGAATAACAATTCTAGATGAAACTTAATAGAGTAGTGAATTGACTTAATCATTCTACTAAGTTTATATTGCGGTCTGAGTAAGACAGCTGTTCACCTCAGAAAAGTTGTTTCCACCTTTCAACTGTGCTGCTATGTTGTTTATGATTACATGTTACCTTCCATGTTAAGTTCATCATGCGGTCAATTAACCTTGATTATTTAGTGTGTAACCCTTTGGAAGTAATCAGTTATTCTCAAATATTTTAATTGATTGATGGAACATAGGCATACATACGGGCGTTCAACAATTTTCATGTTTCTTGACGTGAAAGCGGCATTCGATTGAGTCAATCTAGAGATACTACGGCAATGTTTGGTCGTGAAGCGAATTTAGAGAAAATACATCACACTGATTAAGACACTCTAATTGAACTCATGCAGCCAGGTGAAAGCTTACGGAGAGTTGTCATTTGACAACTGTGGTGACAACCAGCGGTGTCCATCATGGATACCCAATGTCCGTCCCCATTTCTGTTTAGTTTCATCATAGATGGACTAGTCGAATTGACGCTAACTAACTTCAGTGACTCAGGGATTGACTTGTTACCACGGAATAAGTATTGTTGACTTAGAATATACGGATAATGTAATCCTTCTAGGTGAAGGCACTGATAAAATGTAGAGTCTTCTGAACACGTAGAGAAGCAATCTTCGAATGTTTGGCATTCGATTCGTTCTTGTCAAACGTAAGATGAAGCGACGGGACTGGACTACATTGACTCCCTGTTTGGAGATACGGAGTGAAGTGGTGGCCAGAGCATGTTGAGCACTTAATTCACTTATTTGGGACGATGCATCAGCCACAATGGATTGATTGCCGGAGAATAAATCTCAGGACGGATGCAAAAGACTCGTGTGGCATTTGCTAACCTGTATCATCCCTAGCGTAAACGTGATACCCGGCTATACATCAAAGGACATGTGTACTGCTCAGTGGTTCGCTGTGTCCCGCTTTATGGCTGTAAGACATGGCCACTGAAAATGAAAGACGTGAAAAAACCGGCTACCTGTTTTTGATCATAGGTATCTGCGTTATATCTCCCATGGTATAACAGAGTGAATAATGTTGAGGTTAGGTGTAGAGTGTTATGTAAGGAAGGGAAGTCAATCGATGAGTTTGTGAAGGAGAATCGATTGAGATGGCTTTGACACGTTTTGCTCATGCTTAGCTGTTGAGCTCCTCTACAGGCAATGTTAACTGACATAGGATGGATGGATGGATGAGGTTGGGAAAGAGCTAGCGGTGGTGGTCAGACGAAAACATGGAATTAGTCCATGAAATGTTTTACAGTTTGTTTGAGCCAACCAATTAGGGAGGTGAAGACTGAATGTCTTGTCGGGATCCTCGGGATGGTAAGAACCAAAGAAGGCTGGAGATGATTGGTGGTGATGTGCCTCAAAATTGTTCTCAGTCGCACAGATGAACTGACTCTCTTTGATCTGATATACTCAAAAATACCTTATTGTTTTTTCTATGTTACTAGTGATTCACCCTCACATTTCTACTCATAATCGTTCCTTGTAATCTCGTTTGTCTTCTTATGTTTGGTAAATAGAGTATGACAACTCAAAGTGCTGCACTTCTGTGCACCTTAGTTTCTTCCCCGTTTATTGTGACTGGTCAGTTTATTCCCGTTTAACTTCGGTTGACTCCTACTAATCAGCTATAAACAGATCTACAAAATAACATTACACTAACTGGATACCTTCAATCTCTTCTATTCTACCGTACACTGAGGTCTAAAGTTACTAATTAAGTCTCAAGTGTAGCGCTGAGCATAGAATAAATACAAAGACTAACTGTGTATTGTATATGCGTAGGTGGTTCTAGGGTAGAGTGCTCGCCAACCATGTACGTGGTCTTGGATTCGATCCTGAACCTGTCAAACCTCGTCTAGTTTACTAGCTGTGATAATAATCCAGGAGAAGAGGGAAGGTTAGGCGTGTGGCTAGCAACCCCACTAAGTGGACACTAATTAAACAACACAATTGCTGGTGAAACTTCAAGTCTCAAGATGGAAGCCTTATACTCCACTCAGAACGCAAAGAAATAAAGAAGAAGAAGGCGAAGATGATGATGATGATGATTATGATGATGATGAAAAAAAAGATGTAAAGTATAGTAAGTTCAAATAATTATATAAACAAATTATAAGTAGTATATTACTGCATAAACTAAAACTAAAAACTAAATTTTAGAAGTCAAACTAAATCTAACTAAAATAATACATATAAAAAAGAATTCCACTTGAATAGGTATGTTCACTGATCAAACTAGTCTGTTAACACCATTTATCAGTTACACTGAAACACGAAGACTTGACCACCACCAATATAATCTGCAATATAGATCTTAGCACTTGACAGTGCGATGTCAACTGGTAGATTTATATTTGATGGATAAACAATTCGTGGAGTAAGTGATGAACAATAAGAGGTGAAGTCCAGTGTCATGGATTCATATCCTAATGGCTTCACTAAGGCCACAATAAACGTTGGAAAATCTTTTGCCTTGCGAGCGTACAATCCAAATAAACCTCGAGAATTCTAAAAAAGTAAGAATTAAATAAGAAAAAAAGAAATTGGATAAAATTCTTTACTGATAGTGTTGAGTTTTAGGGTACCATTTAAAATAGGATGATATAAAGGATGTTATAGTTAATGACCACTACTACTACATCAGTAAAAAAGTTTGCCAACAAAAGACTAGCTCAGATAACATCATTGCAATCAACAAACAAATTTATTACAGAATTTCAATAATCTTCCACAAAATCGTCACATTTATTAGTTATCTTTCAGGAGTATAGGCGTTTCTTACTGATAACGATGTATTGCACAGCTCACAAGCTTTGAAATATTCTCCTGCAACTAAAGTCGCAGAAGGTTGGATAAACCAACATTAATATTATTACTATTATTATTGTTATTATTATTATCCCTTTGTTTCTGAGTGGAACACAGGGCTTCAACAGCACACTTCCATCTCACCCTATTCTCTGCCTCCACGAGTATGCATATGCTGTCATTTCCTCCTCAAATGATCCCCTCCATGTCACCTTCGCACCAGTGCTCAACTCATCATTTCCTCTTGAAGTTCCACTTGACAGACTGTTTGGTGCGTCAAGCAAATCAACAGTTTGTTCAATATACATGTCCAATCCATCTCGATATCCTCCTACATATTTGTTGGGCAATGTTTAATTTCTTGGTTAGTTCGTTGCCACAGTACACCTGATTGCTTATCTTTTCTGGCCGGCCGTCTGATCTTCAGTATGCAGCCAGAGGAGGTGTACCTGTTGATGAAAGTCTGCAGCATGTTGAAAATTCTTTTGGTTCTGTGTGCTCCAAACGTCTGAACTATGCAGAAGAAATGAATTGACATCAATGTTGAAAATCCCGATTCTGTCTGTCATACCGAAGGCATAAGATTTCTGCACTGATATCAGATTAATGAAGGCTTGTCTTACTTTTCTGATCCAGGCTACCTTCAATATTCTCATCCCTGCTGCTTGTCGTTGGGACGATTAGGACTAGATAAGCGAGAGAAGTGACTTCTTTAAAAAATTTTCTTTATATGTGGAATCATGCTTGTTGTTATTGTTAGTTCGATATCTTCACCACCTATGTCATCTCTATGTTCCCTTGGATTCCTTATCTTATCTACCAGCTTCTTCTGGTTTTCGCGTGTGGATCTTCGAGTCTTTGTTAGATTAGACATAAATAATCCACGAGGTCCAAATTTTCTAGAGTCTTTATGTCGGTCCAACATATTTCTGTCTTCTTGCTGCCACACACAGTCTGCTGTATGATCCAGCCACACCAACACCATCAGTAATATCATTGTCAGTGATATTGGGCAGCCGTGTTTTACTCCTGTCTTCTCACTTCAAACACTTCGGTAACCTCTATGCATTGTGAATCACTCGGCATCTGTCATCATCATATAGCTCTTGAATAAGGCTATCGACATTATTTCGTGTAAATATTCCGACTACAATAAATAATTTCACTTATGAAACGATGATGAGTTGGATCGAAGCTAATATTTCCATGATCGTCAAACACAAGTCAATTATAAAACCTGTTAGAGGTCTAAAACACACATGTTTACATAGATTGAAGGTGAAATCATAAATCAAGGACTACACTAAGCTAAAGACAAGAAAGAACAGTAGTTCAAAGTTTGAATTACCGCCATTTTGTGTATGACACTATAAGTCATTTCGCAATAACCATACAGGATAAGATTTCTAAAAAACAAAGTGGAGGAATGTTCAGTAACCATAAAATTACCTAGCCTTATAAAGTACTGCTCTCAAGAATTCTTATTTGGATAAGCTGAAGAAATACACTTCATCTGAGATCTGACAAGCTCCTCGTTAGATGATTAGTCATCTTACCATTTAAAGTTGGTGGTGAATTCTTACAGTTCGCTGATTTTAACAAGAAACTGTTTGTCGAAATGTTTGAGTGTGAGTGTGTGTGTGTAAAGTCAGTTAGGAATAATGCCATATTTTGTGACAAGCGTACTGATGCAAAATACTTCTCAGAACAAACCAGTTTTCACACAGAATAGCTAAATGAACTACCTGACTATCCGAAATATCAAGAAATCGCCTGTCTATTTCACTTGACAAAACAATAGTGATTTCTCTTCGGACATGTTTCTTTACTCCCAGCGTACCACCTGACATTTAAAATTGTCATACTGTACAGCTTCTTGTACATAATCAACTTCTAAATTAGTTTAATTTTTGAGTATTCTGTGCAAAAAGGTAGTTGTAACCGAACCATCATTTAATTTTTATTCATATTCTGAATGGAATCCTTGATCAAAGACTAAAATTCTTTTCAACCTAGAGTATACTCGATGCTGTGAATCTCAAGTTTGATATTTGACGTTTTATTCTCTCATGATTCAGTTGAATGTCTTCACGAGAAAACTGGAGATTATGAGTAATTAATTACTTAAAACAGGCATACAAAGGGCATAATACACATGAAGTGAAACAATAATCTGTATTGGAAGACGAAACTAACAATAGTCTAGAGGTCACTTACTTGGGAAGGATAAGGTATGGGTTCCACAGTTGACCATTTCAAGCTGGAAGATGTGTACAGAGTTGTAAGAGATTTGACGAAGCTCAGTATTGATTCACCATATCCTTCAGCGAGAAAATTCTTTAAATCAAGGGAAATAAATGTATTTAAAAAAAAATCTGGTAACACCTTTAATCGAATTCGCACATTAACTAGAAGTTGACACACTACGTGGAGGTGAAATTTCACTACAGTCTTACTAGCTGGCTAGCAAGTACAACTGGTCGATGTGAAAGGTATTTAACTACTCATCTCAAACAATCAGTGGCATATAGTTTTATGCATTTATGCTTGATTTCGTGATAACCCATTTATGGTATCAAGCAGATCACATTAATCATGATCTGAATTATTTTGGTTTCCAAAGGAGACTGTGATGACCAGCAGTAGAGTCCGGGACGCACATTTCGTCCTATTTCAGACTTGTCATCTGGATGTACTTGCATTGTCCAGTGAGTTATGGCCTTCCAACTGAGGCTTGAACCCTGTACTCATCGTTCCAAAGGCCAATGTGTTATCCACTAGACTATTCTGGACATCGATGAAACACCTGGACAAGAAGCAGACATGTCAACAGAGGCCGAACACTTCGGTTCAATTGATCAACGGGAAAATCAGATTTGAATTAAGTCATTTGTTCAGCTCTTAAACTTTGACATTGTCCAGCTGTAACTGAATACAGTCAATGGACATCCGTCCTGACCACCGGGTCATTGATATTGTCCATTAAATTTTCAATGGGTTGATGAGATGTTAACACAAGTGACAACATTGTGTTTTACTGAAATAACTTCACATTTATTTTGGCTAAGGCCAGTGGGTCTAGAAAAGTCATACTTGTATCATGTAGAAATTCTAGAGTCAACTTAATTTCAATGAATACTTCGAATCGAGTGAAGAAGCCACGAATCAGTTAGTTGTGGCCAGATCAAATACTTTTTATTTACTACAGCTTTCATTCCATACTGAAGATGAGGCGGTCATTCAGAAAAGACAAGTAAAAAAGAACTCTGGCAAAGATTCTATCACCCAATACATATGCTGAAGAAAGTGGAGATGAACTGGATATACACTGAGGAGACTGTTGATTGAAATCACGCATTATAGGCGTCGACGGCACAGCAGTTAGGACGCTCGCCGACCATGCACATGGTCCGGAGTTCGATCCCCGGCCACAGACGTACTCCTTGACCTCGCTAAACCAGTAATAAAGCTGGTAAAGAGGAAAGGTTAGGCATGAGGCTAGCAACTCCATTCTGTAAAAATAATCACCACTGCTATAGAAAATGCAAGCCTCTAGCTTGAAGCCCTATGTTCCACTGGGAAAGTGAAGGAATAAAAGAGGCTATGCCATTGCTCGAATATAGGAACCCGTATAGAAAGCGACAGGTTGAGCGTTGGTTCGACAGTGACAGAGAGGAGACCATGTATAGAAGAGATGAGAGCCTATGAGCAGTCGTTCAGCCAGCTAAATAGGACTGCATATAATAAGATGTGCTATTGAAGCACTATGTTCCACTGGGAATCTAAATTGATAGCAATGGTATCCACTAGTTACCATTAGAGATTCAAAACTCGCATAGTTAGAAATGTCGGATTTTCGTCGCATCTCACCCTGCATATAACCTATTCCTGTGTTGAATTACCTCTTGAAACTATTGTTTTCAAAAACACATACATCCTGCTTATTCTCAAAATTAGTCTTCAGTAATTAACACTAACATCACTTGTTATCTTTCCGCATAAGTTAAAACAAACTGGCTTGTGATTCATGTGAAATGTGTCAGACTGTGAAACGCTTTTTATAATTGCTAATCTACCATGTTGGTTGTTTCCGTCACTTACGCTTTTACAGTTATTAATTCATGTTCACACAAACAATTTGTACACACTTATCTAGCCTGTTGCAGACAAATTGTGTCTGGTGATTTCATGACTTCTATATGGCTGCTTTTAACACGGTTGAGTATGTCAGAAGCAGATTTCTATTCCTTTTGATTGTCATTAGCCACTGTGAATTAATATTTTCAAATAAAAGTAGTTAACTACTTTCAAGTTATTGAGTAGTGATGTCTGTGTATGAGTAGAATATCGGATATACAATGTCCATACAATCACTCACACACACACACACACACACAACACCCAAATAAAAACTCACTTCAACAGTGTTGGTGATTCCATAATTTTTCAAATGATCAGCAAAGCTAGTGTCATTTATTGCCTCTGAAAATATTTTCCCATTATAATCCCATGGCATCGGTAAATGTGAGAGTAGGGATACGTCGTCAGGAGATAGATAGAGTTGCCTGTCTTTGGGATAGAATAAATCAGGCCTGTACCTTTTTTGGAATGTATTGACACCCAGTTCAGTCCCATAATAGACTACTGGTGATCCTATGAGAATGACGAAAAAGAGATTTAACTTAAAACTTTGAACCAATAAGAATTAATCTGTAACAGTGGGTGTTGTTTGTACATTTCCCTAACTTCAACAGACCACGAAGCAGTCAATTTCTGATTCCAATAAATGTGGTTTCCGGGGCATTGAATGTAGATTTGCACAGGACGATATACTATTGGTTGACTGAGATGAGTTGTAGTGTTCGCTAGTCAACTAGATCGAAGTGATCTAAAGGCCTGACGGCCATTCTGCCTGTTTAGTGTCCTTGAGCTGATCAGCGGTGTCCCCAACTTGACTTTCAACTCAGAGGGTTGAATCAGTTCAAACCACCCAATTTCTGACTATGTTGTATGTATATTTGATGGCACAAAAGGAATATCATTATGACTAAATGTCACCTCAGAGCACAGTATATAATTCCCATACACTGTTACGTAAAGATATATACATTTATGTATATATTTCACAGATTGAAATATCATGTCGTTGAATGATGCATTTTGACAAGAAGTGATAAAATGTATCTGATAAAATATGTGAAGTTATCAATTTCTCTAGGCAAGGGATTTTCAGTGCTACCGCCAACGAGTGTCATTGGCGATTATTTATTTTCACACTCGATCACATAGACTCCACTGGTCACGACTTCGAGCTAGTACCTCTTCCTACAGTCAGTCACTAGTGGGCATCAAATTAATTTTCAAGCATTGGTTTGAAACAAGCTCGCTTCATGACCTGAATCTCCTAGTTCCGATCAGCGGTAGGACCACGCGTGTGTGCGTGCTGTCGAAGAGTTAGAAGCAGGGACGAAACATCTGTCTAGTACTCTTGAGTTTTCAGTGCTTCTATAAATGAGGTCGGTTAGTGATCAAACATCAACCTAATCAATTCCCTACAAACTAACACTTGAGAAATTAAGTGTTGTTTATCCAAAAGTCAAATTAAAGACTTTTTTTAGTTCATTTCGTAAAATATTTCTTGATATACATTTCAAAGGATCACTTTCATTCTTTTTCTAAATGCTGACATATTTTTTTTGTGATGTTTACTGAAACTCACATTATCTCCGTAAAATTCTTAAAATGGTTCAGTATTTTTTCTTGTACTCCTCCTGTCGTTAATTTATTAATAATTTGTGTAGAAAACATACTCTGCACAGTGTTATGCGAATCATGTGAAAAAATGCGTTTAACGTCAACAAAGCATTCTAGAAGCTTAAAAGCTTTTATGGATTTCATTTACCTTAGAAATTTAGTATTTATTCCCGAGATTTTACTCTGTTTGACATTAAATTATGAAGCTTTTATTATGAAGCAGTTGACTAAGAAGTGTCTCGTGTCAGGTGATGCACAACGGAAAACTCAAAGAGGCGTTCAAAGTGAATACAAGAGTAAGACAAGGCTGTCTGACTATTATCAGCTATGATATTCTTAATTAAGGTGGACTGGATTATGCGTCAGACTGTACACAGGGAGTGAGAAGAGAGGAATAATCTGGAATACCGATAAGAAGACTCTATCTAGAAGATCTGGATTTCGCGTGTGGATGATGTATGTCTGATGTCAGAAAAACTGGAAGCCTTACAGGCGAAAACCAACAAAGTGACTGAAGAAGCCACCAGTGAAGACAGGACCTTGGATGAACACAGAGAAGACGGAGATGAAGATAACCAATGAACAGCAACAACAACAACAACAACTGTCATCATCAACGGGAGAGATTTGAATGAGGTCACCTCCTTCGCATATCTAGACAGCATCGTTTCAACCACAGGTGGATGGTACAGATGAAGATATCAAAGCAAGAATCGGGGAGGCGAGATATGTCTTCATCAACTTAAAAGCAGTTTGTGAATCTTATGCACTCCGCAACATAAGGAACAAGATTCGCATTTTCAACATCAGTGTCAAGTAGGTCTTTCTATACGGGTCAGAAACTTGCACTAACTGTCACGAAAAGGATTTCCAACAGGTCACGGACTTTCATCAACAACAGCCTTCACCGGCTCCATACTCAAGATCAAATGGCCGGTCAGAAAGAATTAGTAACAAGAAACTCTTGGAACAAACCAACAAAGGGCTTTTTGCTTAAAAGTATGTAGGAGAAAATGGAGATGGATTGGACATATATTGGGGAGCCCGTCGAATGACATCGCGCTCAATGCACGCCATCGCTCAAGTGGAGTGTGAATGGGAAGCGACGAGTGAGTCGTCAGTGCGAGAGGGGCATAGATGAGGTCGTGTGAAGAAGAGATGAGAGATTATGGACAATCATTGACCCGGCTGAAGAGAACAGTAGAAATTGGAAGAAAGTGGTGATGTGTTGTTGAAGCTGTACGCTCCACTCGGAACCCAAGGGAATAACAATAATATAATTTCTTAATTATTCCTCTATGTTCGGAGTTTCATTTCCTCTTAACATGATGTACTACATATCACAGTGGAACAACCAGCTCGTTACTTCCCATTTAGCGTTCTACTCGAGGATCTGGAAATTCCTTTCATGACACGTGCTCCGAATCTCTGAATTAATCGATATAGAAACCTTGACTTGATGTTAGTGTATGGGAATTCTAATCATCTTTCTTATACTGAGTTTGACAGATTTTTCAAAGTGATTTTAGATTAATAAAGGCATGTTTTGCTTTTCCTATCCTAACTACAGATGATATAACACTTATGAGTATCGTTATCATGCCTGTATTATTATTATTCCCTTGTGTTCCGATTGGAGCATACAGCTTCAACAACACACGACCGCCTCCATTCCACTCTCGCACTGATGACTCACTCATCGCTTCCCATTCACACTCCACTTGAGCAATAGTCTGCATTGAGAGCGATGTCATTCGACGGTCTCCCCATTGTGTGCCCAATCCATCTCCATTTTTTCCTACATATTTGTTGAGCAATTGGTTCTTGGTTGGTTTGTTCCCAGAGTTTCTTGTTACTAATTCTTTCTGACCGGCCATTTGATCTTGAGTATGGAGCCGGTGAAGGCTGTTGTTGATGAAAGTCTGTGATCTGTTAGAAGTCATTTTCGTTACACGCCAGTAATAATATTACAATAATAATAAAACTAATAGTACAGTCTGTAAAGACAGTTTTAATATAAATGTCAACTGACAGGATTTATGCTGAGGTATTCCTTTGAAGTAGTCTGAATATTAACACTGATAATAAATAAATTTTAACCAATATACATATATATATATATTGTTTGTTTACCTTGTAGTAAAAATGTTGCTGCAAAATCAAGCATATTCGCCGAGCTTAATGGTTCAGATGGATTGGCTGTGGATAATCCTGATTTCGTCATATCATCATTTGTATACGATAAATAATTCTCTACATTCACATTTAGTTGCATGTTTCCATTTTTCCAACCTTTGTTGGTAACAAATTCTCGATTCATTATTAAATCGGCTACATCTCTAAACATTAGCATTGGATCAGTTCCATTCATTACACCATAGCCAACATCACCGGCGGATACAGCTAACAGCCTGCATAGTGGTTGTGCAAATAAAAAGAGAACAAGTATTCGTTAGATAATATATAATAGTAAGGTGAAACTCATATGTACGTCAGCCAGCATTTCAGTGGTGAAGTACTCGTCAAACAGATACGTCGGCCGAGGTTCGATCCTCAGCCGATGCACTCCTACACTTAGTTTGGCCAGTAGTAAGTCCAGTAAAGAGGGAAAGTCAAGTATGAGACTAGCATCTCGACCTCATGTCTAATTGAACATCACCGTTACTAGAGCTTTCAAATCTCAAGGTTGAAGCCTGATATTCCTTTCGGAATGCAAAGTATTAAAAAATGAAAAAGACGTCTGGAGGATCACAAGGATCTACTGAACTAGACGACAATGAGATGGTTGGAGGCAATTGGCAGGAAGCCTTGGCTAGACCTAGGTTTCGTGCCAGTTGGTACTCACTAGTCAGCAAGGCGTATCTGAAACCTTGAAGGAACTCATGTCTCTTCTGAGATTCGAACCCACGTCACCTAGTAAGAGCTGCAGTCAGAGACGTTACCATTGGGCTATTCGTACTAGCTATTAACTTTCTGTAGGACTGTATTGGATACTTTCATTGGACACTAGTAACTAGTGCGGTGTGTCTAGTCCTTTCTTCAGTGCAGACTGAAGCCTGGGTCCAAGGCTTACTGCTAGTGTCCAATCAAAGTAGACGACAATTATTTGTTTCCTTCGGTCAATTACATGACTTTATCACCGCAAAATTCACTATGATTATGGGACTTCTGGTCTTCCATGTCGTCCAGTCTCATTTATTTCTAGAATATTAAGTTAGATGAACTGGGTGAACTGTTTTTAAACAAAAGAATTACAGTGATAACTTAGAACAAGTGAACAAGTATATTCTACAACGGTTGTTTCAAACTTATTCATCATCACCATCATCTAACTACCGTCTTTCAGTTCAAGAAGGAATTTTATTGATAATCAGATTATGTGCTACACGAATCAATGGAAGTCTTTGAACCTGTTGTCCTTCTAGCTTAATCAAAATAATGTAGAACTGGAATTATTATTTACAATATTTCGGGTTTACTAATGAATCTGTGTTCGATTTAAGTAATTTTCATCAGACTTGCTCTTCAGCATCATATTGATTGGCGTTTCATTGAGCAGTAAGGGATGAACTCCATTTCACCCTGTTTAACTGACTTTAAAGAGAGAAATGATTTTTGGAATCACTCTACTGAATTATAAGTCTTAGTATTCCTAAAGGATGAAATCCTACGTAGGGTTTCAGATGTCCCCTCCTTAGATACTTACTCAATAAAGCATGAAATTGGATGGCATTTAAACCTACAAACTAACTGAAAAAGGACAAACTCTGCAGGTGAAATTATCCCATTGACCCAATTAGACAAAATAATTTAATCTACGAAATACATTGCTATGATTGTTTTGATCAACTACGTGGTTCACACTGATAGATTGGGCGTAGTCAGACTATTGGAATATAAGAATTTATCTAAGTGTAGATTGACTGACCTGACGAAAATGAACAGTTTAGAGAAAATTCAGGAATCGCAATGCATTGATTAACACACAATAGGGTGGGATAGAGTTACACTTCTGGAAAACAATACAGGTAGGTGGAGGGAGAGGTTGATTACATTGAATCTACACCTAACATATACAACACGAATAACTCAACGCCAACATAAGAGATATTTTCAGTATTACTATCGATAAAATCAAAGGATAAGAAGCACTGTAACTATATAAACAAATTTTCAAGTATCGGTTTTGTAGATATTTTGTTTGATTGGTTGGAGGATTTCATCATGAGCTGAAATCAGTTAGAGAATCATTGGGAAATCTTGGAGTACTGGACAAGAGTTTCGCCCTAGTTTGAGACTCCTCATCAGCACACCGGGTTCGAACCCAGGTAGTTACCTGGGGTTCTAGTGGGAAGTCGTGACCAGTAGGGCACAGTAGGTTGAAGGTGAGGACAGTTACTCATTGAAGAAGACATTGCGAAGTAGTCGCGTCGTGTCAGAGGTTAGAATTCATGGCCTGGCCATTGGATCGGGTCACAATGGCTTAATGGTCTAAGAGCTAGCTCGCCTTGTAACCAGAAAGTCGTGGGTTCGAACACTGGCGGTGGTTGCGTACTGCTGAATAAGAGTCCCAAACTAGGCTGAAAAAAACAGCCTAGTGGTGGTTTTCCAATGGTTCTCTAGCTGATGTAAGCCATTGATGAAATCCTCCAACCTATATAAACAAAGTTTGAAGGAGGTTATGTGAGTGACTTGATATAATTATGAGACAGACAACTCTGTCTTCAGTAAATAATACTGTACCTCTGTGCGACTTTATCAAGTCACTCTATGATGGAATTATAGTCTATCAGAGTATCCAAGTTCTATTCTTCAATATAATATTCAAGTTTCATTAAAGTTCATTATAAATGTCAATATATTAAAATTAATCATCATAAATGGATTTACTTTTCTTTACCAGTCTTCTGAGACCATGAATCTATTTCCTTCTTAACTTGTCCAACAAAATCGACACTGGTATTTACAAATAACTGACGATCAGGATAGCCATTAAACCAAGGGTTTTTGGTAGTCTAAAATATGAAATTTAAATCTTCATAAGAAGACAATATTATATGTACCGTAGTGTCTCCTGTAGATTCCATAATTTCATTGAAAAATGCACAATTATCCAGTAGAATTCCATCAATTCCTTCTTTCATCCAATGACCAATTGTCTCCTAATAGAGCAATATTATTTATTTATGTAATTGAGAAAAAAAATATGAATAACTTACAAATATTGCCTTCTGAGTATTTGAATCTGTTAAATTTAAATCTACACTTGGCCATCCAAACACGGAATAATATTTCACAGTCTCGATTTCTACACCCAAATCTTGTCCATATCGGGAATACTTTGTTAGAAGAAAAAAAAAAAGAGAGTAGAGTTATCATTAAAGTGAATGAAAATAATTTTGTACACTTACGCCTTTTCCAAAATTATCTGGTAACTTTGTCAGTTCAACTTTCTTCTCTGCAATCCATTTATGCTCGACAGATATTCCATTGAAATTGAAAGTTAGAATAACTTTAATACCCAGTTTGTGGAATCGTTTAATAAGTCGACGAAAATCTTCCATTGTACCAAGTGCTTCATCTAATTCATCATAATCTTCAACTAATCCAAATATTTTATGCTTATTAGTATAGAATCCTTTTGTTATAGGACCTAATATAACATATCCTGCACCGACCACATTTTTAATATACTCAGCTTCAGATATAAAACCTATTGAAAGAAGATAAAGTGGAATCATGAGGGGAAAAATAAAACAAAAGAAAAGAAACAATAACTAGAAATTGAATGAATTTCGCTTACCGTTTAAATCGCCAACGAGATCACCAGTAGTGTCTTTGAAAGCGAATACATCTACCCAATAGCCAACAGTAGATCGCCAAAATGGTAATTTAGGCAAAGCTGCACATTGTGGTCCAACAAATATGTAAACAATGGTGGCAATCAATAAACCAAACCAAATAAGCCAAAAACCAACTAACAAGCCTATTCGAATACGTTTCCATTTTGGGCTATCTTTATCTAATTGAATAAGATCTTCACGTGTAAGCAGACCATATGTCTCTTCTTGATGCTCATTGGTTTGATTCCTTTCAAGGATAGTTTTGTCAGGAGAATTTTCTGACTTGCTGTTGTTGTTGTTGTTGCTACTATTGTTCTTCTCCGTTGATTTCTCTTGACTGTTTGAGTTATTTGTAGGCGTTTGATCAGCTTTTGCTTGTAGTTGCTGTTGCTGTTGTTGTTGTTTGGGATTATCCAGGTACACAACGAAATCATTCATTCTCTAGGCGTTGTTCTTCTTCGTTTTGGAGTCAGCTTTATCAATAGTGAAGAATTGTAGATCTGTGACAGTGTTTGTAGTCTTTTGTAGTCACGATAAGATTTTACTTTGCTTACGCTTGCATCTATTTTTGTCCTTTATATACCACATTGTAGGCAAAAAAATGTAGTAAAAATGGAATGCTGTACTCTTAAAACACACACTTACAAACAGAGAGAAAAACGACAACAGACAAGTATGATGAAATTGAAACAGTATGCTTGTTTACGTTGAATAGATATATCTCTACATAATGATTGGAGAAAACGAAGAAGAATAAGAAAGACATTTAAAGTCATTTTTTTTCATCAATGTGGTACAAATTATTCAGTTAAAATACATAACTTTGAAGAAAACAAAAGAAAAACAAACAACTGATTCACTAATTAGTTCACATTTTTCTGTAGAATCATACCATCTTTTTTTTGATGGTGAAATTAAAGATATCTTCACTAAGAAAATACGACACTAATTAGAAGTTTATTTGGTCTGCCAAAAGTGCACAAAGAGGACGTACCACTATGTCCAATCTTGGATATGACAAATTCCTCATATCATGCTACTTACTGCCAAATTTCTCGCAGACATCCTCCTACCTATTAGAAATAATCTCTGCAAGCATAGTGTTTCTGATTCATTTGAATTTGTCGATTCAATTAGTGATACTAATATATCAGGGAAGAAAATGGTATCCATGGATGTTAAGTCCTTCTCTCCACCGATGTTTCTCTCACTGCTTGCTTGTTTGCTTGATATACAAAATCATTGAGAATAATAATGTAGACGTGTGTGTTCCAATCCACTACTTAAAGGAACGACTATTGAGGTTCACTTTAAATGTCTAATTCAAGTTCAACAACACGCTTTATAGACAAAGAAATGGAGTGGCAATGGGGTCCTTTACCTGTAGACTGCTTCTTGGCAAGTTTAGAGAATAGTATGTTACGGCCCATTATCGATAGTTTCCATTTGTACCAAAGATAATTGGATGATACTTTTATCATATGTGACGACAATACCGACATGGAAATCATAACCAAAGAGTTCACGGGCTGCCATCATGCCATCCAATTCACGTTAGAATCAGAGACGAACTCGGAATTCCATTTTTTGGATGTTTTTCTAAAAAGGAGATCTGATGGTTCTTCAAAGATCAATCTACAGGAAACCAACATGGAATGGGCAGTTCACGAATTTTTATAGTTGGGTGACCTTGAGCAGAAAGAGAAACCTGATCCACTCCTTATGCTCAAGAATAAGAAGGATATGTTCCAGTGATAAAATCGATGGGGAACTGGAGCGACTCAGACAAGTCCTCATAGGGAATGGATATACTCCAAGATTCATCGAGAAAAACATGAAGTTAAAGCAAAAGCCTGAAAGAATCCAGACTGCCGAAGAAACTGCTATTTATGAGCGCTGAGATCCTGAACAATCACTTATGCAGATCACTGAGGAAAGTCCTCTTTACGACTGATCTACGGAGCAGTTTCTACAGCCAACAAATGATCAATGGATGTGTGAAGGATAAACTGCCTCTTTGAGCCACTTCAATGTGTTTTTATAAATTCACCTGCTCGTGTGAAGCTAGTTATATTGGCCGCAAAAGGTGCGCACTTTCCAAACGCATTTCTGAACATTATCTGGCGTGGTTAAAAAAAAGACAATGCAAGACAGACACTAGCTCAATTCTCGAGCACTTAGTAAACTCAAGCCACACAGCTCCACCAGAATCGTCTTTCAACATCATCTACAAGGTGAGGAAAAATGGTACTAAGGGCGTCAGGTTTAAGATTTTGTTTATTTCGGAGGCTCTGGCAATTCGTCAATACAACCCCGAACTCTGTATATAGAAAACGTGTGTCCAGTCTCTCATTCTACCTTGGTATTAACCTCTTCACCAGTTGTTTCCTGTAGAAAAACTTATTTTTTCAATTTTCAATTTTACTTTTAGTTTGCTTTTACTATAATAATTAATTCACTACTATCATTCTCACATATTCCTCTTGTACATTTTCACACCCTCTTCACACTTGTTAAATTGATACTCAGCTCACTCAACAGCATTTTTAACCTTATCAAATTTCTAACGCTTTCTTCCTTTGTACTACTGAGTACTACGTAATTTAAAACTTTTATTTTTACCTTCGGAACCACTTCTGAGTAATCATATCAATTATGTCACCCTCTATTACTCAATAATGGACTACTATATATTTTTGGTAAATATAAATACAACTGTACAGCCTCTGAAGGAAGATGATTTCGTTGATAGAGAAAATTTTCTTCGGTGAATTTGTCTTTCGTTTTCTTCAGAATTAGAAGTTGTTTTGATTGAAACGCAAGGTGCACATTTCATCGTTTCGTTTGGGACTCATCAGTTGGATAGGTGTGCTTACCTTCATTTCCATTGAGTGATGATGGTATCCCCAATTAAACTTTAGCTGTGTACTTATGATTTCATAAACGACAAAGTATTATTCACTAGGCGATGAGAGTCACTTTTTGTGGCCTATATTAAGGGCAGACTTGTCAACACTTCTGTCTAACATAGTCAATCAATAGAAGATATAAATGGCAACACAAAAACATGTCCACACTTCACTTATATTGCAATTAATAACACTCTGGGACTAATATTGTGCAATTATATTTCATAGTCTTAGGACTATGATCTACCTGTCGTTTTAGAGTCAGATAGTAACTGATTATCAGACTGTTGGCTCTCATCGAAATGGCTTGTAACAGGAGAGAGGTAGTATGATCTCTAACGTTTGAGCCTAAGTGTTGGAACACTTTTGGGCAAAGTTAAACTTTAAGCACAACTAACTCGGTCGATCGGTTTTCGACATAGAACTTTGCACATATGTGTGGCAGTTAAAGTCGCCACACTCCCTCCTTATAGCACACAAAGCAAGAGAAGAAAGTAGGAGAAATGCACAATATAGGCAGTAAACAGAGATGTGAGACAAAGGAATAGCAATAACGAAGAACAAAACAGTTTCATTGGAAATCATAAGTCACAAGGATTGGATGCATCTGCGCCACTGAGAACGACTTTGAGCCATGTCACCAATTGTTTCCAACCATTGGCTTTTACCGTCCCGAGGACCCCAACCAGGAAGTCTACACCTTCCTACGTGGCTTAGACTAACTTTTGTAGATTTCGTTGACTGGTGCCATGTTTTCGTTTGATCACCGCTAGCTCTTTACCAGCTTGACACTATATCAGCTAACATTGCCCGTTGAGGAAGGCGATGACTAGGCATACGTAGCACATGTCCTAGTCATCTCAGTCGATATAATTTCACAGTCTCGTCGACTGATTTCCCCGCCTTACCTAGCACTAGACGCCTAACCTCAATATTGCTCGCCTTAATATACCACTTGACGCAGGAGATAGAACGCAGACACCTATGATCGATGGCCATGTCTCACAGCCATAAGGGAGGACGGAGCGAACTGTTGAGCAGTACACACGCCCTTTGGTCGATAGTCGGATATCACGTCTACGCCAGAGACGGCGTAAACTGGCATATACGAATGACCTCGAACGCATTGATGTGTATGGAATACAAATATTTATGCAAAAAAATGCATAAAAGCTGTATAAAAGTATTACAGAGGAAACTTTACTTTCACATCTGATAAAAATAGTTTTAGGTTGGAGTATCCACAGAGTGCAATTCCATTGTGGGTAATATTTGCTTTGATAAAGTCTCATAGTGTTATACAGTAATATATACTCAGTAAAAATTGAACTCGAAACTTTGTCATCAGTAAATACTACTGTATAACACTGTGAGACTTTATCAAAATAAATGTTCCTTACAATGGAATTATACCCTACAACAGTGCACAAGTTCTGTTCTTATGTCAACAAAAAAGTTTAACGACATTCTATGCATGCAATTATTTAGGTCTTCTAACCCTTACAATAACCCGAATCTTTCCTGAACCTAACCCTAACATGGAAACATCAATAAACTAACTTTAATCTAACTCGTACCAAATCTACTGTCACCTTTATTAGGTTAACCTAACCCTAACTTGTCCTTGGCTTAAAGAGTAACTTAATCTTTCGCAAACCTAATCTGAAACTTGCCAGATATCCCATTTGATAACATAACACTTCGATTAGCATATTTTATTGATAATGACAACATTATTTGCCGGATTTGACTAACTTGCTCAGTGAGTGTTTCGAGGTCATTGGTGCGGTCGAACTGCACTGGTAGTTATTTGTGCTTAAGGTTTAACTTGGCCCACTTTTGCAATTTCATCAGTATTAAACAACGTGATAATAAACAGAGAGTTAGAATAGATGCTGATGAAAAAGTTCATCGATGAAGATTGTCGGACAAAAATGAATAGGTGGAGAGTAACATCCGACAATTACAGTGTCTACATCGGCTAGAAATGATGAGTAAATTGATATGCAAGTTCTGTTTTCCAAAATAATTTTTCTCTTACTCTTCCACCACAATCTATTTTTGCATAAAACTATATACTACTGACTGATGAAGATGAGTAGTTGCGTATCACTCATATCAAACGGTGTAGTGCTTGCTAAACAGGCAGACTGAAGTGATTTAAACACCGGACAGCCATTCAGCTGATTTAGGACCGAGCTCATCATCGGTGTTCCTGGTGTGACTCAGCTCAGACGGCTGAATCAGTTCGAATCACCGAATTTCTAGCTAGCTACTTGGGCGAACTGGTGACACCTTCAATCAAATTAACAATCTGCAATTAATAGTGTTCTCTGAGCTGGTTGGTTTGGTTGTGGAGCTTTCGTCGTCCTCCGGGACAACATCTTCAGCGCAATATATAGATATCATAAAGTGAAATGATTTAAATTTCTTCATGAGTGATATAATTGCGTTTCCCGGTAACCATCTTTACATACGTTTGGACCATTTTCTATTGACTTGGATTTTAAACTTTCTGGTCACCTGATTTACTTTTTATTAGTTGGTATATTTCGTCTATATTAACGTGTTTCTTAATTGCATTTTCTTTTGAGCACCAGGCTTTTTGCGGAATTCCCTGGCACTTTTGATGTTTCCTCTGTCTAAGACTTCGACATTACCCCAATCAAACTGATGTCCATAATTGTCTATATGCTTTGATAATAATGAGAATATATCGTGTCTTT